GACAACGAAGGAGGCAGTGAGTTAGCAGCGGTTGGCTAACCTAGGAAGTTTCTCTAGTAAAAGACCGCTCAGACAGCGCTGGGTAAATTTGTTCCAAATCAATTCAACTAAACGCCTATTTGTCTAGAATTCCCATTTTGAAGAACAAGCAGGATTGCACTGCTAACATTTCATTTACAGCAGAACAGCTGCTGGGCCTTAAGCATTTTCATATCTTAGGCATCTTTTGGTCTTCAGATTGCTTTTCAGCATTTTCAGAGGTTTTTGTTTGTTTCTTTTTTTTTTAGTCCATTTAACTAATGGCAGTTCTGCATGACTTGGCTAAAATAGCCCTCAAAATTCTAAAAAATGAAGCAAATGAGGAAAAAAATAGGCACTCAAAAATGAACAGGAAGAAGCTTAAGAGAGCCTGAGCCGAGCCTGTGCGGTAGCAAGCATACATTTTATGAACACAGTAATCAAATGTGCAACATTAGGCAAATTGAGTGCTAGAGAACTCCCTTCAGAGAACCGGCTTTTCCTAGGCACCTAGGACACTGGGGGAAACTGCCCTCTGTGAGGTGGGGGCTCCCCGAGGGCCTCAGCCGGCGGCTCCAGAAAGGCCAGGCTCCAGCGGGAAGAGGGATGCTTCCGCCTTGGTCCTCAGCCTGCCCTGGGCTCCGGGAAGCAGGCCAGCGCTGGGAGAGAACCCCCTTCCCTCCACGTCCCACTTCTGTGGGCCAGCACTATAATTTGCAGGTGCCAGCAGCTACCAGTTCTATTTCTGCAGCACAGCGGAGGCAGGCAGTGCAGGACGCAGAGCCCACCACCCTCTCATTTCTCATGTTGTGAGTGGAAAGGAGCAGGGGATACAATTTTTTTCTCCATTTCTTTTTAAACTTGGGAGATTCTTCCCAGGAAAAGTACCCCGTGGAAGCACAGGTGCCGGCATTCGTATTCACCCAGGTGATGGAATGGTTTTGGGCACATCTCATATTCAAGGCCCTGCACATATTCACACACCTGCGCTAAACATAAAAGATTTGTTCATTAAAGCAGTGGGACAGTGGATTAATTACAGTACAGAAACTCAGTGTGAACTGTTCGACCGGCTGGCACGTCAGAGGCCAGTGGGCTGTGCTCACCTCCCCGAGAACGGGAGTGGGAGGCTGCAGGCCATCTCCTCACCTTTGTCCCTTCTGATGTTTTGTTTTGTTTTCAGTCATTTGACTCCCCTTCTTGGGCTTCCCATCAACCTCAGAATAGCCAGGAGCCAGGCTTTTGAGCCAGGATTTAGGTGTCCTTGAATCCCTGAAGCTGTGCAAAGCTGGGTGTGCATGAGCATATGTTTGGGCCCAGTTTTTTAAAAATTACACTCTCACCAAATATTTAGCCCAGGGATGTAGAACCACACGAAAGTGGAGGCAGGCTACACGCACGTGCCTATGAAAAGCAGTGGGCGGCTGGGTCGAGCTGCCCACATGGTCTTTCTACTTCCTGAGCTGGCCTGTCCCTGTATTTCCTGGGAGGGTCCCTCCCTGTTATTTTCCTCCCACAATCCCAGGCTTCTGTTGGCTTCGGGCCACCACCCAGCTATGGAGTTCAGCCCACAGAGCTGTCTGGGCTTGGAGCCCCAACCTGGCGGCGAGTGAGCCAGACAGAGGCCGCACCAGGCACCCGCGCTCCAGCGAGGAAGCCGTAGAGCCGACCTCGTGGCGTGGCTGTGGCTGGGGCAGGGGCTGCCTCGTCCAGCCACCCCTTCTTTCTGGTAGTCAGGAGAGCGGCCTTCTCCAACTGCCTACTTCCCCTCATCAGCACGTCACCAGCCACCCAGGCGGAGCGTGGAGGAAGCTCTCCCACTTGAGAGGGCGGTCTCAGTCCCATGGGAGTGGTGGGTGCGGCTATGGTCTCCGGACTCCACTGTTCCAAGCGATCGTGTCACTTTTGTGAAAGAGAATTCATTTCTGGATGTGCCTTTCCCGGATTCTATTGGTTTCCTTGGAAGAGCTGACCCCTGAAAGCCTCTCTGACTTCAGTTCACAGCCTTCTCGGTGAGGAGCCTGTGCCGTCTGCAGGAACCCCCTCGGTCATTCCCCCCTCAGCACTGGGTGCTCTCAGTACACGAATCTGTGGTGGGTGCTTCCGTGTGTAATGCCCGTCACTCACTATTAGCGGGTGAGTTCCTGGGGAGCAGGAAAGTGTCTGGCCTGGTCACCGTTCCATCTTCAGCACAAAGACCAGAGGCTGGCACAGAATGTGACTACTCAGTTGGTCCAATGTAACAGGTGTGACGGTGCGTCCTGGACTTGAGAGACACCCCATAGAGCAGACCTGGGTGAGTAGCACTGATACAGAAGACAGGGGTTTTAGCTGTCCAGCTCTATGTGAACACAGACGCTGGTGTACCTCCAGAAAAGTCGCTTTTATCTACGCTATAGTAACACAGCAAAGTTTCTAGTGTTCAACACCCGAATCCAACGAACAATCATGACACTCAGCGCCAGACCCTCTTTGAGGAGCTGGGAAGAAAACCATGAGAAGTGCAGAGTCCTGAGGCTGGAGGGGAGCATGCGGGAGAAGGGAGGTCAGAAAAGAAGGCCCGAAGGGGGGCCTTGCAGGCCATGGTGGGGAGAGGGGCAGGGGCCACCTGCCTCTGCACTGATGAGGCCGCCCCAGGACAGGGCTCTCAGGTCCGGCTGAGTGTGAGGGAGACACTGGGGCCAGAAGAGCCACACACAGTAAGGGTGCTCTGACCCACATCACGGGCTGGGCAGGGGGGCTGCAGAAACCGAGGATGCTTGGTTTGGACACCAGCAGGCTGGGGGAGGACCGGGAAGAGGGATGCGCCTGACTTGGATTCTGGGCAGCCCGAGAGCTAGACCCTGCACTGGCGAGTGAGAGCTCTGGGGAGGCCGATTTGGATGTGTCTAGAGGAAGCAGAACAGTCATAACAATGAAGCCCGTGAGATGCAAGGAGGCCGCCTGCTGTGGGAGGGACAGAGCCTCGTCACTGGGGTGTTCCTGCGGATTGAGGAGGCCAGATGTTAAAGACAGAGGGTATGAGACACACATACTGTCACTGTACTTTGCCGGCTAAGTCCGAGTCACCCTCTTGGCGGCCAGGCGTGTCTTTGAGAGCCCGTGGGTGCACAGACCCAGTGTAGCTCACACACACTCCCTGGCTGGGAGTCCAGGCAGAGGCCAGCTCCATGTGCGCGAGCCTGTGTGCAGCTGGGCCACAAGGCCTGGCTCTGCCCGCCCAGCAGCAGGGAGGTGCTCACACCCTGGTCGGACAGAGTCAGCGGCGGGGCCAGCGCATTTGTGAGTCCATCCAGCGCTGAGAAAGGGAGAGCTGCCTCCACAGGTGGCACCCAGCAAGCATCCAGGGAACCGCCTCCTCTCAACCACCTGGAGAGGAGGGCGGATGATAAAGAACTGGCAGGAGTCTTCCTTCGCCTGTTAACTCTTTGGGGAGCTTCACATACAGGACAAATGGCAGCGAGGCTGCTCCTGAGGCCCAACGTTCTTCGAGAGCTCGCTGTGCAGATGACTGGGCCCAGGGTCAGAGGCAGCAAAGCCACTGCAGACCCGGTTGCCGTTGTCAACCTCAGGCCACTCGGCTCTGACACGCCTGCACTTTATCCCTTTAGAGAGGGATTAGCATGCCTGTCAGGCTGTTACAATGCATGGCTGCTCTGAAGAGCTAGGAATTTGGTTCTCACTCATTAGGGGCAGCAAGAAGTGTGCTTTCTGATGAAAATAAAAGTCGTGCTGAAAAGGCAATCGCTCACTAAGCAGATCCTCAACCCTGCTGCTGACAGAGAGGGTGTTAAACGAGGCAGAACCTACCACGGTATCAGAAACGTCACCAGCTATGACCATGACAGTGATAGTAACAGCAGAAACGGTCACAGGCGATGACTGGCCTCTCCTTTGCTCAGGAACCTGCTGTGGCTCCCAGATACCCAGTCCCCTCAGTCGGGTATCTGGAGATCAAGAGGGACCAGGTCTTCTCTGCCTCACCAGGTGGCCCATGCCAACACCACCGATCTGGTCCTCCTGCAGCCAATTGTGTCATCAGACCACAGGGCCTATGGGGCTCCTGCCACCTGCTCAGGCCTGGGAGGCCACAGCCTGTGTCCTCAGCCTCGTGGTTGATAATAACTGTATCCACCATTCACTGAGGTTGATGTCCCAGGCACTCCCCACTTATCTGATTTAAGATTCACAGCCACCTCATTTTCCTAAAGGAGAAAACTGAGGGCCTCACTCTCCTGGATCACCTGGCTAGCGAAAGGCAGAGGTTAGGCGCAGCGTTTCTCAACCTGTGGGTCGCGACCCCTTTGGCGGTTGAACGACCCTTTCACAGGGGTCGCCTAAGACCATCCTGCATATCAGATATCTACATTACGATTCATAACAGTAGCAACATTACAGTTATGAAGTAGCAACGAAAATAATTTTATGGTTGGGTCCCAACATGAGGAGCTGTATTTAAAGGGCCAGAAGGTTGAGAACCACTGGGTTAGATCCAAACTCAGGCCTGTAAACCCAAGCAGTCTGTGTTCTTAACCACCCGGCCACTTAATTGGAGAGTAAGATGGGACCCGACAGGAGGCTACACTCATTGTTGTCTTGACAATGCACCTTCCCCAGCTCCTCCAGCCGGGTCCTCAGACTGCCACAGAGGCAGGCGGTCCTGGGAGTTACCCTCAGTCCTCTGGGGCCCGGAAAGCAGTGAAAGCTCTGGAGTAATTCAGCGCTGACGGACGCTGGAGAACACATGCAGGAATTGGGCATAGGGACAACAGCGTGTTGGCTCTTGGAGCCCAGAGGCAGGAGAAGGCCCCCCCCAGGGAGGCTGGCTGGCCTGGCGCAGGCAGAGGAGGAGGACGTGGGAAGGAGCAGGTGGGGGAGAAGCGGGGATGACGATGGGAGCGCTGGGAAGTCTGATGAAGGGCCCGCGCCGCCCTTCCCTCTCCTGCCCCAGGACTCATAACAAGGAGGACTCGGACTGGTACCTGGGTTCCTGGCTTCAGGGTCGGCACAAGGTCTTTGATCATTTTGGCTTCAGAGACTGTGACGCCACCCACCACGAAGAGGATCAGGAGAGGGTGGTCGCTGGGATGAGGCCGGCTCACCTGCAAAACAAACATCCTCTCTTAGCGATCGGAGGTGTGAGAGGCGTATGGGCCCATGGACCAGTAAATGCACACGTCTCCTTATGACAGCCCTCCAAATATTTTATTGAAAGAAAATTTCAAGGAGTGAAGGATATTCCATAAGAAGAGAAGACGGAGGGGCACCTTATGCCTTCCTTATCGGTTCCCGCTCTCAGCATAAACACGCCCCTTCTTTGTTACACAGCTCTGCTTACTTCCTAAGAAGCACCCGCCACAGTCTGGGGTTCACCTGTTTGTGGCCGTCTCCTCTAGTAGAACATAAACTCACAGGACGGGGACCTTGCCTGCCGTTCCCAGTTGAATTTCCAGCTTAGTGCAATTTCTGGCACACAGTAGGTGCTCAATAAATATCTACAGAATTGATGAGTAGTCAAAGCCCTAAGTAGGTGTTGGTGAAGGATGTGAAAAGATGAAAGAGTCTGCCATCCACCCTTGAAGAGTTACTCTACACCAAGCACGTCAAACTCGCAGCCCGCGGGCTGCATACCGCGTTTATTTGGCCCTTGTTAGCATTTGAGTTTGACATGCTTGCTCTGCATGGACCACTCCACCAGGGGCTGCGGAGAATTCCTCCTGGTGCCTTCCAGGTTCACCCATGAGCCAAAGTGTTATTATAAACTAAAACACGAGTGACTCACAACAACCCCTCAGGAAATGCAAAATGCACAGCACATTGACTTAGTGACTAACTGAAGAGACAGCACATTTGAGCCCCATCTGGAAGCCAGAGTTGGTTGGTTGAGGAGTGGCAGGAGGAGAGGAGGGTGTGTGAACTGAGTTTCGGAGGCAAGCAGTCACCAGCTGGGTGGAGCAGGCCAGAGGCCCAGCCAGGACATGGGGAGCAGAGCATCATTACAGGAAGGATGCTGCCGACTGCTCAGGTGGCCACTGAAGCCAGAGGGGGAGAAACAGGCTTCGGCTCCAGAGGTGGAGAGTGTATTCACTAATTCACACTCGCCAATGCGCAAGCCCCACTGGGGCGATTGGACAGTCCCCGGGAGCAGTGGGGCAGGGCAGGCTGACAGGGAGCCCTTTCTCTTATCCCTGCTCCAGCTCCTTTCTCTGTTGGGTTCTTCTGGCTGCCTTCCCTGAATATACCCACTTTTCAACATCTTATTTTAAAAACACAAAGAGAATACGCTAAATGCTTTCCATTATATAAGCTACTCCTTGGCTTCTGGAGAGGAAATTCAGAATGGAAAGGAAGGAAGGACGGAAGAACGGAAGGAAGGAAGGAAAGAAGGAAGGGAGGGAGGGAGGGAGGGAAGAAGGGAGGGAGGGAGGGAGGGAAAAGAATAAGGCGGAGGAAGGGAGGGAGGGAGGGAGGGAGGGAGGAGGGAGGGAAGGAAAAAGGGGAGAAAGGAAGGAAGGAAGGAAGGAAGGAAGGAAGGGAGGAAGGAAGGAAGGAAGGAAGGAAGGAAGGAAGGGCGAGCGCAGAGCTGTATCTCTAAACTTTTCCAAAATGGGCGGTGGTGAATAAATACTGAGAAAAGTTAGGAAACTCTGATCGTTAGAGAAAGACTGTCACTCCTTCCCCCCTAGCTTCCTGCCCATAGACCTCCTTCCCCTGGACTGAACTTGCTGATTTCTTTCTTCTAATCCACACCCCGTGCACCATGAACGTCCTGCGTGTGTCCCTGCCCCTGGAGCTGCTCTCCGTGAAGTCCCCAATGCCCAACATATGTAGGAGTCAATGGACACTAGTCTTCATTTAACTGGCCATTTCTGTGCCATTTGTTACAGCTGATGACATCTTTCCTGGCTACCACAATAGCACCCTCTCGGCTGTTCCTTCTACCTTTGCAATGGTTTCTTCTCAAATTTATTCATAGGTTCCATTTTTTTTTTGGCCTGCCCTTCTAAATGTTGATGTTTCTTGGGGTCCACCTTTGGCACCTTGCTCTTTTCACTTGATATGTCATCCCTGAAGGGCTTCATCTACTCCTATGCCTTCAACAATCTGTTTTGTATTTCCCAAATCTCTGTCTTTATTGCAAACATCTCTATTGAGTTCCTGGATGCCTCCCTCATCTCAACAGGTCTCACTTTTGATGCACCGTCTCCCCCCTGGTCTATTCCTCCTCTTCACTCTCTAACAGCATCACCTCCTTACAGTCACCGGAACCAGGTACCTGAGAGTAATCGTAGACTTGCTGTCTCTTTCATCTCCTGGATCAAGTCCTGTCCATTCTGCCCCCTCACATTTAATGATCTCTCCTTGATTTACACTGTCCCTGTCCTGGTCAGGCTTTCATTCCTTCCTCACAGATCACTGCCAGCATAACGCATCTCTGTCCCTGGCCTGGCTTCCCCATCCATTCTCCTCATTCCT